CAAGTGATACGAGTAATAGGGAATATACAATATGCCCTCGTAAGATGTTTAATGGTAGGTAACCAAGTAATGAAAAAGATGCCTAGACTTAGTATAGCCAAGAACCAATGATCTAGGAGGAGGCTGGTATTTTATATTTCTTTCTATATTGATCTCCTCCTCCTACTGAAATTTTTTGCTTAAATAACATACAATACCACAATAGCCTAGTCTCTCTTGCAATTATATTTATTAGCCCCTACAGATGTGGATGTTAAAGCTCTATACCCATTTCTGTATGAAGAAATAAGTTAATATAAGGGACTACTGGTACAACACAGGTACAGTACAGTGATTGTTGAACCTTAGAAGTTGGTAACTACTACGTGCACCAATATATTTTAAATTGCCTTCCGAGTCTTGTCTTGTATAGCTCTAAGACTGTAAGCATTATACAACTTAAACTTCTCCAACAGGTATTTTAAACTTTACTAATATTATCTTTATTCTTCAGGTTATATTAATATAGCCCTATATTTATTAATTTACCATCCTGCCAAGTGAGTGTAAAACGGAAACCTGTAATTATTTTACATGGTAGGATTGCGGGTGTCCTTTTTTCTGTCTCGTGAACATGCAAGATTTCAGGCAAGTCTTGCTACTTCTGCTTACACTTAGGTCACACTACACATACATGTACAAGCAAATATATACACACCCCTCTGGGTTTTTCTCTATTTTCTTTCTAGTTCTTATTCTTGTTTATTTCCTCTTATCTCCATGGGAAAGTGGAACAGAATTCTTCCTCCATACGCCATGTGTGTTGTAAGAGGCGACTAAAATGCCGGGAGCAAGGGGCTAGTAACCCCTTCTCCTGTATAGATTACTAAATTTAAAAAAGAGAAACTTCTGTTTTTCTTTTTTGGGCCACCCCGCCTCGGTGGGATACGGCTGGCGTGTTGAAAAAAAAAAATTATTAGTTTATTATTATACCTTTACCATGACACTACTTATTAACCCTTTGAGGGTCCGTCCCGTAGATCTACGGCTTTACGTTCAGGGTCCAAACCGTAGATCTATGTCATGAGCTCAGCTCACTCTGATAAACTGAGTGGTACATTTGGGCCTAGATATGAGAGAATACATCTATGTGGTATGTGTGCACCACATAAAACAGATCCTGCAGCACGCTGTGTATAATGAGAGAAAAAAAAACAAATCATGATTTTTCGATTAAAACAGCGACTTTGCAGTGTTTTTTCGTATGTTTTTATAGTTCTATTTGCGATTTCTTGGTCGCATTTGATAGAATGGAAGACATATTACAGAAATAGAGATGATTTTGATTGGTTTTCGCACTGGAAATGGCTTGAAACTGAGCTCAAAGTAGCAGAAATGTTAAATTTTTGCCGATATTCAAGAGTAAACAAACGACCTCACACGTCTAATACACGCCAGCTGGTGGGTCTAATATGCATTCACAAATATGGTGATGATATTTATACAATTATTACAGTATTGCATAACAGTAAATCTTCTATTTTTTGGTGTGAATAAAAATTCATTATGTGAATAAAAAATCAAAATGGAATTTATTTGTAAAGCCTCAAAACGTAATTAATGAACAGAGGAAATGTTAGTTTAGTTCCAGGAATACCTACATTGTTTATTCTGGACCCTATTTTGAAATTGGAATATTTTGAACTTTGTGTTAAATTGGCCAAATTAACAATTTCCGATCACTTTAATTTGTAGTTGAAACAGTTGACTTGGCCATTTCTTGTGCTCAATCGATAGAATAGAAGTAATACTAGTGAAATAGCTAAGAATTTGGTTGACTGGAATAATGTATTTGGCCTAAAATGGGAGTCAAAGTCGGGAAAATCGCCAATTCGTAAATATCGCTGACACATCAAAATTCGCGAGAGCATAATTTCGTCAATTTTCCATCAAATTTCATACTTTTTGTTTTATTACCTTCACAAAAAGATTCTCTACCATTTCATAAGAAAAAATAACAAATTTTTTTTTTGAAAATTCTTGGACACTGGGCCTTGGACCCTGAAGGGGTTAAAATGCATTCAGCTGATTCATTTACCTTTTATGAAATAACTAATTAAATATTTGAGTATCAATGCAATTTTTGCTCCAAGAGTTATTGATGGTACTGTTTCATAATTAAACAATATGATCACTATTGTTTTATTACTATTTTTATTGAACAAAAGTATTAAATACATCTTTGTTACTGCTGTACTGTATCTATTAACACAGAGAAGTTTGGGAGTACATAATAATAACAATAATAATACTTTTGTTTTTCCTTATGGGCCACCCTGCCTCGGTGGGATACGGCCGGTGTGTTGAAAGAAGAATAATAATAAACATGCCAGGTGATGAGAATAAAGTTTAGGTAATTAAAAACTGGATATCAGACTGGAGGAAAGATGAGAATGTATCTAGACATTTGAGAGTGGATATGTCAGCCCATAGGTCAATGAAAAGTGAGGCAAATCACAGTATAGAAGGCTAAAAAAAATATAGGTAAAACGTTGAGGCATCTGTGGAGGCAAAAAGGATAATGTATCACGAGTATAGTGGTACCACTAACTTTTTATATGGGTTCAACACATGGTCTTTAAATGTTTCAGTGAGGAGGAGGAGGCAGCTGGAGGCAGTAGAGATATGTTTGAGAGCAATGTGTGGAGTGATTATAAATTTGGAACACTGGTAACAGATGATAGTGGGGGCTATGAAAAATATTATTCAAAGAGGAAGCATTGTTGAGATGGCTTAGGCATTTAGAGAAAGAACAGAATAAGATAAATAGTGTAAAGTCTGGGTTGGAAGTAAAATGGAGTAGTGTTTACCCCAGAAATAACTGGAGAAAACATGTGAAGGAAGTTTTCTGTAGTAAGTGGCTTAAGCCTCTAGTTGGCATGTGCGAGTGTTATTTCAGAATGGAAATAAGTGGTTTTAGGATTTTGACAAGGGTTGTAGTGTGAATATTGTAATATTTATAAAGGGATTCAGAAAATCCTTTTATAATTTTTTTTTTTTAATGCATCAGCCATTTCCCACCAAGGCATGGTGATCCAAAAACAAAGAAAAACCCCAAAAGAAAGAAAAAACTTTCATCATCATTCAACACTTGCACCATCACTCATGCATAATCACTGTCTTTGCAGAGGCACTCAGATACGACAGTTTAGATGTCCCTCCACACTGCCAATATCCAAAACCCTTCCTTCAAAGTGCAGGCACTGTACTTCCCATTTCCAGAACTCAAGTCCGGCTAACCAGTTTCCCTGAATCCCTTCATAAATATGTAGGACACACAGTGCTTGAGCTAAGGGAGGGGTAGGGAATGTTGCAGTTCAGAGAGTCATCTGATGTTATTACAAACTTCTGGCAACACAAATATACAATGAACGATAGTGAATGTTTTCTTTTTGAAGGTCACCTTACCTTGGCGAGAGACGGCTAGTATGGTTAAAAAAAAAAAAAATCCTGTATATGGTTTGATATAATAAAGCAACTGTTTGCAAGTCAATTTTCATGAAAGAATAATGGTAAAAAATAAACAAGTCGAGTGATGAACAAAGTCTGCAAGTGTAAAGTGTTCAGGAAGTGTAGAGATTCTGGAGGTGTGCATAATAAAACTGCTGAACTTTAGTGCCTAGTGTTTAAATCTGCCTAACGATGGACAGTGAATAATGACCCCACGAATCATCTTCATAGAATGAACTGCACATTTTCAATCAAGCCATCATTCTTGGGTTCCATGTATTAGGTACACAGTAGTATCAAACAGTTCAAAGTTACCAGAGCCAAGGTAAGTCCAAATTTCTAGTACTCATATATTACGAAAACTGCAGCATCCTGTTTTAAAACGTGTCTCAGACTTTCAGGTTAGCAGTTTCCTGAGCCTATCATTTATGAGCAACTGCCCAACATCAGGTACAGTTATGTGACTTCTCTACCCGAGATAAAACTATAAGATAAATTAATATCATATAAACTATAATAAAAAAACACTACAAATTGTCACAAAAACATATTGCAAGTTATTAAGTTTCTTAGAATAGCTAATTCCCTTATTCTCAATCACTATTACATTACTCACAGGCACACTACATTGTCTCGGGCACTAATCATCATCTACCATCAAACTTCCATGTATATAGTACACTTCCACCACAACTACCTTAGAGAGGGGCTATTTGCTCAGGGGGACAATGCATAATAACTTACAGATTTATTTCCATTTTTACTGAAATCAGACCTTATTAGTTAATAGACACAGCCAGTTTCAAGTATTATATAAAATGAAAGAAAAAATCAAGTTTATAAAGCTTTAATTTTGCACCTCCTTGTGTTGTGTTGAACAGAAGGGTGTATAAGTACTGTAATTTTATTTAGGTCTTCCAACAATTTCTGTTGTTAGGCAAATTTCCGGCCCCTCCTAGAAAAGGAAAAACTTGCCCATCCTTCTAATTCCCTAGATGTCTTCCAAAAATACAAATATTTAATCCAGTAAAGAACCAAACTGCAACATCCCCAAAAATCCTATAACTGTAAACACACTACTTATCCAACTCAGAAAATTAATAATGGGTAAGTGTAGGTAATTAGAGGCAGTCTGTATCTAGCGTTCATAAAATTTACCCTCCAGGTAGATGGTCAGAGCAAAGTGCTTTCTTAACACAGTTTTATAACCTTATTAGAACAATAAGCCCAGAAATAATAAGAGAAAGGCTACAGATCCAACCAAACTGCCATGGACAACAGTAGCAATAATTCCTGGACAAACCTATTTAAAATTAAACAAAAATTAATTCAATTTATATAAAAATTAAATTACTCAAGAGTACAAGAATTTTCTGGGGTATATTACTTGAGATAATCAATACTGGTTTGCACTAAACCAAAATGGTAATAGTCTGTAACACTGCCTAAAACAAAAACTACAATTTACAATATCCCCCACCAAAATAAAAACAAGAAATAAAGATGCTTACTGATGATGTATAATGGAAAGGAGTTGTTGTGTTGCAGGATAGTGATGAAGCAGCAGAATCTGTGCCACTACAGGCACACTGGCTGGGTTCTCCACAAACACATCATGTATGCTTGTGTTCAGTACTTGAGTTAAGGGTAAGTTCAAGTGTTGAGGAGAACACAAAACTGGCCACTTCAGTGCGGCCTACAATAAAAACAAAATTAAAGGACAACACTTTTCATCCAGTATTTATTACTGCCTATTTCTTAGTAAAAGAAAAAGTTTTTTTCCTTTATTTTATTAGTAATCACAATTCATTGAACTACTTATACATGAAGTCACTTCCTTCATGAATAAATAAATCTCAAGGAGAATAAGGTGTCAAAAGATAAAAATTCTAACCTGTGCAGTGAAGTGAAAGCCATGCACCTCTGATGTATGAAGTACTATGGAAGTATTGAAGATTGCTGCAGAGAGATTGAGATATCGACTTCGTAACGTTGAATAAAGGCTGGTATCGGTGTCTGCCACATGTGAAGTCAAAGAAAGTGTATTCACCCATTGCTGCCCAGCTGAAAAATATATTGTAATTAAAAAAAAAATCCAGATTTTGTATTGGCCACTCAAACTTATTTGAAAAGTTATTGCTCTGTAAACTGAGTTTACTAATGTAACGTACAGATCTAGAACATTTTATCGAAAATATGCATCGAAGACAATATAATTGTAGACTGTATCTGGGAAGATGTTTTTAAATTTCCATTCAATTACCATATAATGTACCCACAACAGTTTTCTTGAGGTGTCAAAGACCTAAGACAAAAGTCTGAAAAATACAAGAGTCATATCATCAAATAAAGTTATGGCCTCTCAAAATGTAAATTGAAAAAGCTGATAAACTTTACTTTTGATCAGATTGTTCTCTGAATCCAATTTAAGCAATCTCCTGAAAGGTTTAATAAATCTTTGTCTGTATTGAATTAGACCACAAACACATTTCTATACTGCTTGACGAGTCATGTATATATCCAAACCTTTATATTACTTTTACGTACAGATTTACATTACCTCATTTTTTGCAATTTTTCTATATTCATGAATGCTTTCCTAGTATCTCCAGATCATTCATGAATTTGTTGTAAAATTATTACTACTGTATGTAGAAACTACTCACTCCAGTTTCTTCAATACTGAACATTCCTTGCTTTACTGGTTAATACTGTTACCTTACTTCCAATGAGAAAGTAATTCACAAACTATTATATGGTTTTCTTACTCTTGAATTACTGTAAAACATGTGTGTGTCAATAAAGCAATTAACATCTTCAGTGTCCAAAACCCTGAAGTTAAAACTGCTCAGTGTAAAAAAAAAATATATGGTAGAGAATCATTTTCAGAACATAATGACACTGAAAGTACAAAATTTTATGGAAAACTCATGGAATTATGCAGGTACAAGGTTAGTGATCTAGGAGCAATTTACGCACTGGCAATTTCATCCACTTTGAGTCCAATTTTAAGCCAATTCAATAGCTCAATTTCACCAAATTTTTAGTTATTTTGCTGGTATGCCTTCCATTCTATCAACTGAGCACAAAAAACTGCCCAGTCAACTATCAAAACTACCCTATACAGTGCACAGAAGTTAGTAATTTGTCCAACTGTACACAAAATTAAGAAAATCCAATTTAAAAACAGTCCAAAATACACACTGTAGACATTACAGACACTAAAATATTTCCTATGTTTATTAATCCTATCCCCAGGCCTCTCCTATATTACATTTGCCTTCAAATAAACACCCTGCCTCGGTGGGATACTGCAGTGTTTTCAAATAAACACCATGCCATAGGAACATTAGAGGGGAAAAAGGTACATAACAGCTCTGCAGTTTTAATGTTACCAAAAAATAAAAAATAAGAAGGGTTAAAAGACCCAAAAATATATTTTTAAAATGCAGTAGAACCCCCATATCCACAGATTCGGTTTATGCGGTTCCAGGTATCCATGGTTTACTATGGCCCGAAAGAAACCCTTAATTTTGCTGAATAACAGTCCCAAAGTGCAAAAATTGTGATGCTGACAAGTCTTCAAAGCCTAAGAGAAGCCATGAAGTGCTTCTCATTAGTAAAAAAAGTGCTAATTCTTGAGTTATTGTGCATAATTTATCAGTTAAACTGTACCACATGTATGTATGTATGTATGTTAAAAAAACCCACACAAGTACGGGGTTTGCTACTATCGGGTATCCACGGTAGGTCTTGGAACGTATTCCCTGTGGATATGGGGGGGGGGGGGCTACTGTAATCCTCCTCTTCCTTACTGATATTCTTTTACACTGATATTCTTTTACAGTGTACAATTTTATTAAATTGGGAGATTGTTATATCCTAAACTACAGTATTTGGTCAAAATTTTGCATAAAAAAATTCAAGATGACAGATTAGCTCACCTTTGCCTGTTAGTGGGAACCCAGTGTAGCATTCAGTGCCACATTCAACTTTGGGGTCAAACACTAGCCTTCCAATATGACTTTTGTGTCCTGGTTGGAGGGTGGCTGGAGTACTATGACTGGGCACATAAGAAAACCTTGTGTCTGCTGGTAGGGGTTTGACTTCTTTTACTGTCATTGGATGACCAAATGTGGATAGAATGTGTAAATTTTGATAGGATATTCTGCCCTGAAATATATTATATGAAAAGAAAAGATAAGTAAAAAAATACATCTTTTCACCAAGAAAATGATTATTCTTTAATGTAGAATGAGTAATATCTTTAGTATACATCACTTCCCACCTAGCAATATTATAATCCCTTGTTTTATTGGTAATTCTATTTATTTAAAAACTAATTTGCATTCTTTATATAAAAAATTAATAAACCAGTTAAATAATAATTAAGCTTAATACTTACTGGAAAGGCATTATTGAATATTAGTGTGTTTGGTACCACACTGAGTGAGCCATCAGCTGTACGTAGTCGAAAGGGAATCTTGATTTGCTCAAACTGTGTTTGTACAAATGACTCTGCTATAAATATACCTTCAGTGTCTGGGGTAAGTACTCCAATTCTGAATGCTGCATAGTGGTTAGGCTTCAAAAACAACTGAAAAAAAAAAAAAAACTTAAGCCAATAATTCTTAATAGGGAATTCCAATTAAGATGTGGTTATTCTATTAAGACAATAACAAAAGTTAATTCAAACTTGGTCACACTTGCAAAGGAGAGCCAGTTTTCAGGAATTAAAAAAAAAATTGCTGGTATTAACAAAAATAGGAAGGTATAAAGTATTAAGAATAAAAATCCATTCTGGCTTGCTCGCTCTCTCTCTCAACAAGATATTCCAGAAAATCAACTGCTAATTTATGGAAAAAATACATGGGTGAAGTAATAAGCCAATGTTCTTCATTTAGGCTTCACATTGATGCCTATTTCTACAGTTCATCAAAAGCTTCACTTTCTTTGTTATAGACAAAGAATGACACTATCTCTATGTTACTAGAAATGGAGCAGTCTGCAGGTCATCAACATGAATTTGGCAGGCAGAGGTAAAAATAATGGTAGAAGACACAACTCAGAGTAGAGTATCTGAAAATCTGGTATAACCCAAGCTAGATGCATCCCCTTGCACCATTGCCCTAAGGATCAGGTAGGAAGCCAGGTCAATTACACAATTAGTATGGCTTAACTGACAGAAGATTATGAGGGAATCAAGTGACACTCTGGCCTGGATGGTTACCCTATAGACAATGTTTATGTACTGCATTTATTAGATTCTTATCAGTTGCATAACATAACATAAATACTTACACTCTTTGATGTGTAAGTCATGTTGTTGCGATTTTTTATGGTTGTTACATTGCCTTCTTCAACTCCCATTAGCTCCACTGCACTTCGTGTTAAGTTTGAGCCCCAGCCTCGTAGTCGAAGCTCTACAGGGTTCTCGTTAATAACATAAAAATAAATATCACGCTGATCGCCCATGCCTAATGTCCCGAAGTCTAACCATGAATCACCGCCCAGTGGAGGAATGTACTGAAAAAAAGAAAGAAAAAATAAGAAATGAAGCAACTCGTAATATAAGCAATGTTAAATGAAGTGACACTAATTGCAAACTTTTCTTGCAGGTACAGTGAACCATTAAAATACAGTGGACCCCCGATTAACGATCTTTTTTCATTCCAGAAGTATGTTCAGGTACCAGTACTGACCGAATTTGTTCCCATAAGGAATATTGTGAAGTAGATTAGTCCATTTCAGACCCCCAAACATACACGTACAAACGCACTTACATAAATACACTTACATAATTGGTCGCATTTGGAGCTGATCATTATGCGGGGGTCCACTGTATTGGTCTTTTAAAGTAATGGGGAAAATCTGCTGGTAAATTGTAATATAACTATCAATTGAGAGTACAGTACTATATTAGGTGTAGAGTATTTAACCCGTAAACAGTCCAAACGTATACATACGTTCACTACCCCAGTGCCCCGAATATTTTGAAAAATATTTTTTTTTTCTATTATTGAAAAAAAAAGAATATTTTTCTAAGTGTTATATGATAAAAAAAAAAAAAAATTAGGGTTAGTACTTCCCGAGATATGAGGCCCAGAAGTTGGCACTGGATGCTCACGTGACAGCAACCTCAAGTCCTGCCGCTTGCACAAGTGTTGCCAATATACCTTTTTTTCTATTTTTCATATTTTATATAATTTTTATGTTCTGATAATTACAATTTATAGTAGTTCTTGTCATTTCATACCCAATCTTTGTTCTGACACTAATATTAGGTACCGAAATTGTACTCACATTGTCACAAACACACTGACAGGTGGACATTTACACCTGCCTTGGTCATTTACTATTGTCTTGGAATATATACAAAGTATTTATAGGTCCCAGCAATGTTCTGGATATGTGGAAGTATATAATAATGAGGAGGAGGAGGAAGAGGAGAAGGAGGAAGAGGAGGAGGAGGAGGAGGAGGAGGAGAATACGTAATAATAATAGGTAATAATTATAGGTAGTCCTAGGTAGAAGGTTGGTAGACAGCAATCGCCCAGGGAGGTACTACCGTCCTGCCAAGCGAGTGTAAAACGAAAGCCTGTAATTGTTTTACATGATAGTAGGATTGCTGGTGTCCTTTTTTCTGTCTCATAAACATGCAAGGTTTCAGGTACGTCTTGCTACTTTTACTTACACTTAGGTCACACTACACATACATGTACAAGCATATATATACACACCCCACTGGGTTCTCTTCTATTTTCTTACTAGTTCTTGTTCTTGTTTATTTCCTGTTATCTCCATGGGGAAGTGGATCAGAATTCTTCCTCCGTAAGCCATGCGTGTTGTAAGAGGCGACTAAAATGCCAGGAGCAAGGGGCTAGTAACCACTTCTCCTGTATATATTACTAAATGTAAAAGGAGAAACTTTCGTTTTTCCTTTTGGGCCACCCCGCCTCGGTGGGATACGGCCGGTGTGTTGAAAGAAAGAAGAATTATAGGTAGTAGGTTGGCAGACAGCAACAACCCAGGGGGGTACTACCGTCCTGCCAAGTGAGTGTGAAATGAAAGCCTGTAATTGTTTTACATGATGGTAGGATTGCTGGTGTCCTTTTTTCTGTCTCATAAACATGCAAGATTTCAGGTACGTCTTGCTACTTCTACTTACACTTAGGTCACACTACACATACATGTACAAGCATATACTATATACATACATACCCCTCTGGTTTTCTTCTATTTTCTTTCTAGTTCTTGTTATTGTTTATTTCCTCTTATCTTCATGGGGAAGTGGAACAGAATTCTTCCCCCATAAGCCATGCGTGTCCTAAGAGGCGACTAAAATGCCGGGAGCAAGGGGCTAGTAACCCCTTCTCCTGTATGTATTGCTAAATGTAAAAGGAGAAACTTTCGTTTTTACTTTTGGGCCACCCCGCCTTGGTGGGATACGGCCGGTTTGTTGAAAGAAATAGGTAATAATAAGTTCCCTTGAAGTATGAAAAACAAAGTCCACCCCTGATAGTGACATGATAAGATGAGATAACATTTGATAAGAGCTGACGTTTGATGAGCATTCGTGAGGGTGCAGTGATAAGACTTGATAAGAAAAGATTAGGGCCTGCTTTGTTTTCGCTGGTACACAAACATGTCTGTATTTGTCTGTCTGTCAAGCTCCCTGTCTATCCATCTAGCTCTCTGTCTCAGAGAGAGCCACAAGACTGGCGTCATCACGTTTACTCACATCTTCAAGCAGAGTATAGCACTTTGTCTGGATTTTTTGGGTTATCCTAGGTAATTTACACTATGTGTACTTGTATTTATGTGTACCTGTGAGACAGAGATAAACAGACAGAAATAGACAAAGACAGATAAAGACAGACAGAGAGAGAGAGAGAGAGACAAACGAAGATAGAGCCAGACCGCCAGCAGCTGGCCAGCCACACAGCTGGCTGCCATGTAGCTGGCCAGCCAGCTAGACAGCCAATCAGCTAGTGAGTCAGCCAGCCAGGCAGCCAGCCTGCCAGAATTGTTTCTCTTTACTTAGGGCATAGGTTATAAGACATTCTGAAAGGGTGTTGCACAAATATTGCACAAGGGTTATTATCGAGGTTTTTTAATATTTCCTTGACCACTTGTGGCCACATCCACCTCACAGCCACTAAACTCAGGGTAAAAATCACTTTCCTCTTAAAATGGGAGTGTTAATACTACATGACATCAGTGAATCTCTGGTGTTTGCTGCACTGTTTGCTGTAGCTGGCACTCATTTGAACTGGTGCTCCCACAAGGTACTAAGTGGTCCCAGAATTTTTTAATACCACACACACTGATTGTTAGGACCCATTCTATGCTGACAAGGCATCGCAGGCCAATTGTGCCAAATTTGAAGGCAGGAAAAATAAAACGTATATATAAGTTTCGGGCACTAGCAGTAAAAACGTATATATACCTTTGGACCGTTTACGGGTTAAGTTCTGTTATTTGCTATTTAATATTCTGATTTAATGGACATCTGGATAACCTTCCCTATTAGTCTGTTATATCAAGAGTTTACTGTAATTTTATGGCACTGATAGGGAATTTTGGGGGGATCTTGACATTTAATTGGCATATATTCTAGGCGATACGCTTTCTTGATGTCCCAAGAATTCATTAACAATTATTCATATTATTACAATCATAACTAAGTGCTAAACATTTCATTAACAAGAAAACAATTACAGTGGACCCTCGACATTCGATACTAATCCATTCCTGAGAGCTATCGAATGTCGAAAATATCGAAAGTTGAATTAATTTTCCCCATAAGAAATAATGGAAATCAAATTAATCCGTGCAAGACACCCAAAAGTATGAAAAAATTTTTTTACCACATGAAATATTAAGTTTAATGCAATAGAATAATTACAATAACAACAATAACATTAGATTAATAACAATAGAATAATTGACACTTACCTTTAATGAAGATCTGGTGATGATTGATGGGATGGGAGGAGGGGAGTGTGTGGATGGTGTTAGTGTTTAGAAGGGGAATCCCCTTCCATTAGGACTTGAACTGGCAGCCTCACCATGCCTTACCACACTGTGTATGCTACTACGATTCTTAAATCTTTCAAACCAACCTTTGCTGGCCTTAAATTCACTCGCATCACCACTAGTTGCAGGCAATTTCTTTACCAAATCATCATGCACTCCGACACACGCACTCCACTTTCGTACTTTGCAATTATCTCTTTCTTCATTTCAATAGTCATTAGCACCTTTTTTCTCGAAGGGTTGGAACTAGAAGCTTTCTTGGGGGCCCATGGTTACTTATTTTGTAGAAACAAGCACCAAAAACAGTGATAATATGGATAATATGGAATGTACCGAATGTATCCTTAGATGCGCGCACACTGGCTGGCTTGTAAACACTGGCACACACGGGGCAGTTCAGGCCACACATGGACACGTCTCATACAAATCGTATCGAATGTCGGGTTTTCCATCGAATGTTGAGGCGAAATTTTTGCGTTAAAATGCATCGAATGTCGGGGGTCCACTGTACATAGAAAAAAGATAAAGAAAACATTCAATGCAGCATGACAATTTCTGGGTCAACTTGCATTTCTTCTGATATTTTCCTAAGTCTCATTTGTGAGTAACAGTATGTCCTCATCCTGAAGATAAACTACTATTAATGTATTTTATCACTGTATAATACTGTGCTTGCAAAAGTTATAGAAGACCTAAATTGTTCTAAGAAATAAGGAAAGTCATAAAATTCTTACCTTTGTCAGCTTGCCATTATATGCCCTTAATGGAATTTTGATAGTGGTAATATTAGTATGCACAGTAATCACAGTAGAAAGGCGAGCATCTGTGCCAACACTGAGCAACTGAAGAACTGCTACATGTGCACTCTGTCCCTCTTGTACTACCACTGGACCATCCCAGCCAATCTGTAAAGATTCAACTGCCTGTAATATACCTGTGACCAATTTATTTAATATTTTTTTTAACCCTACATCATCTCTCGGCACACAGCAGGATTTAAACCTGCCCATACTGCATCAAGGTACACAGTACTTTATCCACACAAAGAACTGTGTACAGTGGACCCCCGGTTAACGATATTTTTTCACTCCAGAAGTATGTTCAGGTGCCAGTACTGACCGAATTTGTTTCCATAAGGAATATTGTGAAGTAGATTAGTCCATTTCAGACCCCCAAACATACACGTACAAACGCACTTACATAAATACACTTACATAATTGGTCGCATTCGGAGGTAATCGTTATGCGGGGGTCCACTGTACTTTGATGCAGAATGTACAAGTTCAAATCCTGCTGTGGACAGAGATGTGGTTTGCAAATAATTCTGCCAGTTTATGAATTATTAAGCATAAACATATATCTTCTTCTTTCAACACACCAGCCGTATCCCACCGAGGCGGGGTGGCCCAAAAGGAAAAACGAAAGTTTCTCCTTTTACATTTACTAATATATACGGGAGAAGAGGTTACTAGCCCCTTGCTCCCGGCATTTTAGTTGCCTCCTACAACACGCATGGCTTACGGAGGAAGAATTCTGTTCCACTTCCCCATGGAGGATAAACATATATATATATAGACCTAATGGTAGGACATCAACTGCTCCAGACCAACTTCAAAGCAGTACTTCTAGATATCCGAGTCCTGTTCTGTGAAAAGTCTTCTAGTTTAGCATCAGGATGGAACTGCCCATATAAATGTTGTAATGTAACTTTTTCTGCAGGTTGCTGTTCCTCATCTTCAAATGTTATCTGCCTCCCTTGTATCTCAGCAATGAACTCTTGCTAACATTTCCTCTGAACTTCTTTCTTCCTCCTCATCTTCTAAGATCTTATTTATATCTTCTGGCTCCATATCTTCAAAGCCTTCACCCAGTAATCTCCTTACTAGCTGAACAATTTCTTGGACCCAACTCTCAATTGAGAGAAAAAAAACCTGTGAAATTATTCACCAGAATTTCTCCCAGCCTGCATTTAATGTTGATTGGGGCACTTCATTCCATATAGTACTACTTTCGTTGTTGACTGCATCCACAATGTTAAATTTATAGCAGAAATCTGGCACTAAGCTCTGAGTCAGCATCCATTGCTGCGACAAGTTTCTGCATCAGTGTATTAAGTTACACTTGAGTGTCTTAATACCAGTGGTTGTATTAACCCTTAAACTGTCCAATCGTAGATCTACATTTTTTCAACATTTGAAAGTATGTAAAAAATGTAGATTTTCTTTTTTTACATTTGAAAGTGTGTAAAAAACTTGCATCTTTTTTTTTTGTTAGATTTGAAAATATGTAAAAAACGTAGATCTACTTTTGGAGCACTACGCATGTGAATGTAGATCTATGTTTGGACAGTTTAAGGGTTAAAGATGGTGTTTGGTGTTAAAAACACAACTTTTACATGTGGGTAAACATCTCCAGAAATTCTTGATGAATATGGAAATCGAGAATAAGGAAACCTTTGAATGCAAGGGTCTTGTTGTGCAGATCAAACATGACTATGGCAATAAAATGATGCATAAATCAATCAATAAATAAGGCTTCTTGTTATCCATGTTGACAGGTTTGGCCTCTAACTGGCAAAGAAGTCTTGGAGTGTTAAATAAGCATGGGCTTACACCTCAAGTCGTTTGATGTATTGCTGTATAGTAGGAAGTTAAAATTATAGTTTCTTGACTTTAATCCCAGTGCACTTTTTTCTTGCTGGCTAATGCAAGTTCTTGATGGTGTCTTCCAATTGACTGTCTCATCAGCATAAAACACTTGCTCTGGCTCATAGCGGGACAACTACCAGCAGCTGTATGTTCAGTAGAAGCATCTTCACCAGAAAATTTAATATTATGCAACCAACTTCACAACTTGAACTTGTGGAGCCAGCTAGTATTAAACAAGCACTCTTGTTCAGGCCTGCCCACCTTACCACTCAACTGTTTTACAGTACTCTAAGACCTTTTCATTTATTATAATAAAATTAAGCAATCCACCTTGGTTTTCTGCTCAATTCACCAATTTTTGTCTTATTTAGCTGTTGTTACATATATGACATTCTTTTCAAGAGGTAATAACCTGGGTTACTCATAGCATAAGCTTGTATCTTTACCTCGTTCCCTTTAATTGTATGAATTAATGTTTCTTTCAGACCATAGGCTTGTGCCATTTCTACATGTGCACCACTTTTAAGCTTATCTGATACCTCTTTATTGTTCTCAAAATGCCAAGACTTTCATGCTTACGAATAAAAGCATTTCCAGCATCACTTACATTTCTCTTAGGTGCCATGGTTACTATCCTGAGAAGAGCTGGAATGACAAAAAGATAAAAACTTCATGCGCTAACACATGCTGAGTATGGTATGGGACATGAATGCACAGAACACTTATGGCTTAGGAAGTTGTTTACATTAAGAGTGTGACTAGGCCTCCCCATAAGACAACTAACTCATCCACAGCGTGCTCAATGAAAAAATGCCACAATTTGTAACTAATCTTATGGCAAAGTAAATTGTGTCTTAATACATAAACTACCGAGATTTCCTCAAAACAATGAGTGTTCACTTTGAATGTTCTACCCTCACAGCCTGGTTCTAGGCCAGGCCAGGCTGTGAGGAGTAGAAGACTCTTGAAACTGGTCACAGTTATATCACAGCCAATCACAAATAACCTGCACAAAGAGAGCAGCTTATGACGTTTTGGTCCAACTTGGACCATTTACCAAGTCACACTCATATTTGCAGGATATTTGCATATTTTTCCAGTCATGGTATTGTGCTGTTTTGATCTTTATATTGCAGCTAACATCTGGAACTGGTAAATGCTTCATATCAAATACCTTAAAGAAAACAAGTTTATCTATATTGTAATAAACACTAAAAAATATTTAACTCATCCCTCTCAACTTATTTTGAAGTAATAAATAGCAAATTTGAATATAAACCAACATTTCTAAACCTTCTAAGGACGATGAATATTAAATTCAGGATTTTCTGCCTACATTCATGCAATTACCTCGAAATGTTTTTTGGCCTCGTCAGGAAGTGTTAAGTTATATATAACAACTGGACAAGGAAATGTGTTGGTAAGGGTGAGGTTGCGAGGTTCACTACTTGGGTTGCTTGTGCCTCCTCCTCCTCCACCTGCTGCAGCAACAACGCCTGTCACTGTTCCGAAAGAAACACCTGATTGTGCTTCAGAAAATCCAATATCTGCAAAAATATATAAATTTTATCAATGATTTTACATGGATAATGTTGCTAAAGCAATAGGGTGTGGAACCTCCTGAACAAGATAAAAGGTAATAGAATTTCTAATAATGTACTACAAATGAATCCTAGGTGATGACTGTGCAGTTAACAATAGAAAAATGCCTTATAACCATCTACATTAACATAAAAGTGAAATTTTTTAGTAAACTTTTCCTCAAATTTCTAGAAATTTTGGTGGCAGTGTCATTGCAGCTGCAGGAAAAAGAAGTGAATGGTGCTGAGACTTGCCAAGTTTGCATTATTAAATCTCCAACATTCATGACATAACTGGTGCCAAGTGATTACCACTGGAAATTATTGACATCCTCTACTAATAATACTTTGAAAAGTGCTTCAGAAAGTAGTCACACAAAAGAAAATGTTATTCTGGTTATTATTGAACAGATAATTATTACCAGATACTAAAGTTGTCTTCTTCCTAATTCAAATACCTACAGAGCATACATACAGTGGAACCTCAAAAATTGAACGTATCATGTAATGAACGTTTCGAAAATAGGACCATTTTTTCGGACAAACTGTGTCCCTATTATCGAACGCGCCCCTATTTTCGGACCGCCGAGTACGGGACCTGTCTGCCGCCCGCTCTGTCCGCGTCCCCGCGCAGGCGCCGTGAGCAGTCTAGCTTTGTTTATGCTTGAGTGAACACTAACCTGCGCTCTCATTCACGCATTTTACGATTATTTTGTTGTGTTTAGTGCTTGTGGGACTGTGAAATAAGCTGCCATGGGCCCAAAGAAACTTGCTAGTGGTACCCCTGTGGTAAAGAAAGTGAGAAACATCATAGATGTGAAGAAGGAAATAATACAGAAGTATGAGAGTGGTGTGAGACTTGTTAAGCTTGCCAGGATGTATGGGAAAAACAAGTCGACCATCGGTTCTATCCTGTCAAAGAAAGGACAAATCATGGAAGCTGATGTTGCGAAAGGTGTTAGTATAGGGAGTGGATGAGGTGCCTTCTTCAAAGATTAAGGAGATTTGTGCCAAGTGGAATGATGCCCAAATGTTTGTGCAGAAGTACCACCCTGAGCAAGCTGAAACAAGCCATCTTTGCAACAAGTTCAGTGACAGAACCATGTCCCATTTTAGGGAAATGTTAAAGAGGCGCCAGAAACAGAGGACTGTGGACAGTTATTTTGTGAGACAGGGGTCCAGTGACTCTCAAGCTGGTCCTACTGGCATTAAAAGACAGAAGGGAAGTAACCCCAGAGAGGGCTTTACCTGAAGTCCTCATGGAGGGGGATTCTCCTTCCAAACATTAACCCCAACTCCCTCTCTCCTCCTCCCTATCTTCCAGATGCCATCACCAATCTTCAATAAAGGTAAGTAAAAATGTTATTTTATATGTATTACTATACATCCTAGGTAGTAGGTTGGTAGACAGCAACCGCCCAGGGAGATACTACCGTCCTGCCAAGCGAGTGTAAAACAAAAACCTGTAATTGTTTTACATGATGGTAGGATTGCTGGTGTCCTTTTTTTGTGTCTCATAAACATGCAAGATTTCAGGTACGTCTTGCTACTTCTACTTACACTTAGGTCACACTACACATACATGTACAAGCATATATATACACACCCCTCTGGGTATTCTATTTTCTTTCTAGTTCTTGTTCTTGTTTATTTCCTCTTATCTCCATGGGGAAGTGGAACAGAATTCTTCCTCCGTAAGCCATGCGTGTTGTAAGAGGCAACTAAAATGCCGGGAGCAAGGGGCTAGTAACCCCTTCTCCCATATAAATTACTAAATTTAAAAGAGAAACTTTCGTTTTTCTTTTTGGGCCACCCTGCCTTGGTGGGATACGGCCGGTGTGTTGAAAGAAAGATTATTATACATAATTAAAAACTATAGTATTTGTTGTATGTAAAACTGTAATTAATCTATAAAATGTATTTTTTGTTTGAATATTTTTGGGTTTCTGGAACGGATTAATTGTATTTCCATCATTTCTTATGGAAAATATAGCTTCGAATTTCAGACTTTTCGAATTTAGAACTAGCTCCTGGAACGGATTAAGTTCGATTTTTGAGGTTCCACTGTATTTACAATTCTCCATGGGGAAGTGGAACAGAATTCTTCCTGCGTGTCATAAGCGGTGACTAAAATGCTGGGAGCAAGGGGCTACTAACCCCTTCTCCTGTATACATTACTAAATTTAAAGAGAGAAACTTTTGTTTTACCTTTTAGGTCACCCTGCCTTAGTGAGGTATATTCAGTTTGTTAAAAAAAAAAAAAAAAAAAAACACAATACAATACAAATGCAATTCAGTGAATCATTTGAATCTGTGATATCTGAGTGCTACTTCTAGCAAGATAGATACTGAACAAATAATGGTGAATCCATTTCCTTCTTCGAGTCACCATACCTTGATGGAAGAATTTACAGTACTTGATAATTCTGTATGAATGTAAATTCAATAAAACTGTGCTAATAATTAAATATGAAACAAAGTAGTATTAGTTTATGGTAGAATTATTACTGAAAGGGTTTGAGGTAAAGACTGCATATACTTGTGCAGACAAAGTATTTACCTTGAAGCATATAAGTGACTGGTACTTAGGTATGGGTAGAGATGTTTGTTGCATTTAGATGTTCATGGATTTACAAAAGGCACAGGTCAGGGTGCATAGAGAAGGCATGTGGCAGATGTTCCAAATGTATGGAATAGTGGTCGGCTACTAAAAGCAACTACAAGTTTATATGCAGAGAGTGAAGTGCAGGTTAGAGTATGTAGCAGTGAAAGTAGAACTGGGACACTGATGTGGTGTGTGATGCTGCCATGGCTGTTTAATATATTTACAGATGGGACTGTGACAGAAGTGAATTCTAGGGTGTTGGAAATAAGTGTGGGACTAAAAGATGTTTGGTCTGATACAAAATAAGAGTCATCCCAATTATTCACTGCTGTCAGTTCTTTTAGGGAATACTGAAGACAGTGTAGGAGGATAGAGGTCAAATGGGAAATTTAGCAATGGCCCTGTAGAATCAACTGGCTAGTCTAGTATAGCTTATCTCTGCCTGGTAAAGCGATGTTTGACAAGGGCCAAGTGAGTATCTGAGTGGGCATAACATCTCCACTCTCTACTCCATCTACTTCTTTTACTACACCATCTGCCACTGCTTTGCATACAAGAAAACTTAGTCATATCAATTACAGTAGGGCCCCACTTATAAGGCAGGTTAGATTCCAGGCTACTGCTGGAAAGCAGACATCGCTGGAAAGCAGACATCGCCGAAAAACAGAACACCATTTTTTTCCACTTATAAATGCCTGATAACAAGTTTACACTAACATATATAAAGTTAGCAATAGAACTAGGCATTAAAAACAATAAAAAGTAAAATACATATACAATACACCCATTACTTACCTTAAAATATTTGTAGTCCAAGTGTAGGGTGAGAGGTGAGCTTTATTTGTAGGAAATCAGGTTTGGGAGGTATGGTAGCCAACCAGGTCAGCCCGCCCCACCCACACATCATATACTATTGTCTTTTTCCCAGTGAGGAGTACACATGATCAACAACATGACAAACCACATAACCCTGTGCTAGTAACTAATTCTTTCTTTCAACAAACCGGCCGTATCCCACCGAGGCAGGGTGGCCCAAAAAGAAAAACACAAGTTTCTCTTTTTTAGATTTAGTAATTTATACAGGAGAAGGGGTTACTAGCCCCTTGCTCCTGGCATTTTAGTCACCTCTTACAACACGCATGGCTTACGGAGGAAGAATTCTGTTCCACTTCCCCATGGAGGTAAGAGGAAATTAACAAGAACAAGAACTAGAAAGAAAATAGCAGAAAACCCAGAGGGGTGTGTGTATATATATGCTTGTACATGTATGTGTAGTGTGACCTAAGTGTAAGTAGAAGTAGCAAGACATACCTGAAATCTTGCATGTTAATGAGACAGAAAAAAAGGACACCAGCAATCCTACCATCATATAAAACAATTACAGGCTTTCGTTTTACACTAGTAACTAATTACCTATCATAATTCCATCATCAAATACATGGTTTCACTCTTCATAGCAGCACTTCAGTACAACACTGAGTGCAATGCTTTTACAGAGCTAAATCTCCTCTGCATGATACATTTTAGCCCCTAACTAATAAACGAATTGTCTCTGGATAATAGTTTCCGTAATCCCACACATCCTCCTAATTTCCAAATTACAAATTCTCTGCATTATGTTCACACCACACACTGCCCTCAGACATGACATCTCCACTGCCTCCAGTCTTCTTGTTGCAACATTCACCACCCGTGCTTTTCACCCATATAAAAGTGTTGGTATAACTACTCTCATCCATTACCCTCTTTGCTTCCATGGACAAAGTTCTTTGTCTCCACAAACTCCTCAGTGCACCACTCACCTTCTTCCCCTTGTCAATTCTATGATTCACCTTATCTTTCATAGCCCCACCCATCTGCTGACACATCCATTCCTAAATATTTGAATACATTCACCTCCTCCACATTCTCTCTCTCCAATTTGATATCCAATCTTTCATTACCTAATTTTTTTGTTATCCTCATCACATTACTCTTTCCTATGTGCACTTTTAATTTTCTTCTTTTACATACCCTACCAAACTCATCTACAAACCTCTACTACTTCTCTTCAGAATCTCTCAAAAGCAGTGTCATCAGAAATGAGCAACTGTCAAAACTCCTACTTTGTGTTAGATTCTTTATCTTTTAAGCCCACACCTCTTGTCAACACCTGAGCATTCATTTCTCTTACAATCCTATCTATAAATATATTGAACCACCATGGTGACATCATACATCCTTGTCTAAGTATACTTTTACTGGGAAATAATCTCCCTCTCTCCTACATACTCTAACCTGAGCCTCACTATCCTCCTATTCCATACATCTGCAACATCTATCACACTGCCCTCCTATCTACCTTGTCATACACCTTTTCCAAATCTATAAATGCCACAAAACTTCTTTACTCTTATCTAAATACTGTTCGCCTATATGTTTCACTGTAAACACTTGGTCTACACACCCCCTACCCTTCCTAAAGCCTCCTTGTTCATCTGCTACCCTACTCTGTCTTACTCTTTTCTTTCAATAATAACTACCATACACTTTACCAGGTACACTCAACACTTTTTCTCAACAAGTCAGCCGTCTCCCTCTGAGGCAGGGTGACCCAAAAAGAAAGAAAAACCCCAAAAAGAAATTGCTTTCATCATCATTCAACACTTTCACCTCACTCATAGATAATCACTGTCTTTGCAAAGGCACTCAGATACGACAGTTTACAAGTTCCTCCAAAATGTCAATATCCCAGACCCCTCCTTTCAAGTGCAGGCATTGTACTTCAATAGACTTATTCCCTATATTTTTTGCAGTCTCTTTTGTCCCCTTTGCCTTTATACAAAGGAACTATGCATGCTCTCTACCAATCCCTAGGTACCTTACCCTCTTCCATACATTTAATAAATAAAAGCACCATCCACTCCAGAACTATATCCCCCACCTGCTTTTAACATTTCTATCTTTATCCCATCAATCCCAGCTGCCTTACTCCCTTTCATTCTACCTACTGCCTCATGAACTTCCCCCACACTCACAACTCGCTCCTCCTCACTCCTACAAAATGTCATTCCACCTTGCCCTATACACAAAATCACAACTTCCCTATCTTCATCAACATTTAACAATTCCTCAAAATATTCCCACCATCTTCTGATGCCTCTAACTCTCCATTTAATAACTCTCCTTTCCTACTTTTAACTGTCAAATCCATTTATTCCCTAGGCTTCCTCAACTTATTAATCTCACTCCAAAACTTTTTCTTATTTTCAACAAAATTTGTTGATAACATCTCACCCAGTCTCTCATTTGCTCTTTTTACACTGCTTCACCACTCCCTTAACCTCTCTTTTCCTCTCCATATACTCATCCCTCCTTGCATCACTTCTACTTTGTAAAAACCTCTCATGTTAACTTTTCTCTCTTACTAATATCTTTACATCATCATTCCACCAATCGCTCTTCTTCCTTCCCGCACCCACTTTCCTGTAACCACAAACTTCTGGTGAACACTAATGCTACATTCTTAAACCTACCCTATACATCTTCAACCTCACTGCCTATACCCACACTACCCCATCTATCCTCCAATAGTTGTTTATATCTTACCCTAAGTGCCTCCTCCTTTAGCTTATAAACCTTCACCTCTCTCTCTTACCTGTTACTTTATTTTCATTGTATCTCATCTACCTTTTACTCTCACTGTAGCTACAACTAAAAAGTGATCTGATATATCTGTAGCCCCTCTATAAACATATACATCTTGAGTACCCAACAGTCTTATCTACCAATACGTAGTCCAACAAACTACAGTCATTATGCCCTACATCATATCTTGAATTATGACCAGCAATTAGAGAGTTGTACTGAATATTATTACTATTTTTGTGATAAAAATACAACAGTCTTAGTCTTCAGTTAACAAATTACCAAGCTGACAAAACTGTTTCACATTCTTAAACTAATGTAAAATCTTACCTGCACCCGTGTAAAATTTGGTGATGGAGGTATTATAAAGGAGAGCTCCTTGGAGTAAGTCTACTGTGTACGGCACACTTAGTTTATAAGCCGATACTTTACTTTTAATCAGTATCTTACCAGATATTTTCTTTCCACTCATCACTTTTGAAGCTGGTGGACAATGAATTACATTAGTTCATGTACAACAACAGTTTATTTACAGTTAAAGTTAATTAAAATTCCAAACTGAAGTGATAAAGATTTATTTGTTTCATGAAATATCTCTAGTAAATGTTTTTAACATTTACAGTACACATAGTGTCTGCATTATCCAAATCAAAAGTATAATAAAAATATCCAAATACTAATATAAAGGACACAGTAGCAAGAAAAATACTTACGATCGAAGGTTACTGTCGCTACTTGCGTGGGTCGCACTGTTCCAGGTGGTATCTTCATTGGCTTAAAGTCAATTGTTATTGCATCATTTACCGGAGTAGTTATCACATTCTAGAAATAAAAGGATATACTTAAATATTTAATATTTTCCATTTGTGCAAAAGGATTATACAATAATGTGTGGGGTGAAGCCATCCATGCAAAACTGGAGGAAAGCGCTACAGATCAAAGGTCACTAATGAATTCATACAATTTTCTATTTTCCAACAGATGGTGAATGTGAAATCTGCTTTTGCCTATTTTTTTGTAACTATGAACCTCTCAGAAATAAAGCATGACACAACTTCATTATTATTAATTTCATGAGAGTGCCCTAAACAAACAATTTTATCATTTGCATTTTACTTATTTAACAACTTCGGTAATACTAATGCAAATACATAATCAATCCAAAACACACATTCATTTTAGACATGGAAGGATACACTAACTGAAAAAAAAGTTAACATACAGCAAGATTTTAAACAACTGTTTTGTGAAAGAGCTTTCAATTTTTTTTTCCTCCTGACATAATGGTCGAGTTGGTAATGGTACAAGGTACTGACAGGATGGCAGATTTACTGTACAATGTGTGTTATGTATACAACTTCCTATTTGCACACAAAGGTTAGTTGTATATGTTATCTCTTGGTAATTATACAACACTTCATTATAATAATTTATGAAGGTTTTGCAACATTAGAAACTGTGTAATTCTTTGTCATTTTTAATGATAAAAAAAATGAAGCCCAGTTCCTGTTCTTATTTGCTTATAATTATATAAATAACTGAGGTTAAGAATAAAGTACCCAACAACCTTATTCATTATAAACAATAAGTTTAATAAAACACATTCATGGACAGTTTATGATACGACTCACTTGAATGTGTATATGCTTGTGAGCAGAATTTAGAAGATGTAAGGGAAGGGATGAGGGAGGATCATGAGGGGTGCGAAGACCAAAGTGGAGGCCATCATGCGGGCAAAAGAGCCCCGGCTGACCCGAGACCTCCACCTCTACCGGCACTACTAGGTAGTCGCTGTCTGTTTCGCTAGTTACAATTCTGTCAAAGAGTGTATTGAACAGTGAAAACATGAGACAGTTGGAATACAGTACAAGATACACTACTGTTTATTGTACAACTACAAAGCAGTATACACTGTAGAAAATAAATATCACTGTAGATGCATAATTTTCCATAGTCACACAATAGGTCAAAACAAAATTACCTGCACTTACAATATCTAGATAAGGTAAATATTTATTTCTGAACAGACATATATATACCCCAGTATTAGGCTCTCCACACATTTTAAATTTATGTCACGCACCTCACATATGCAGTGTGATTGTTCTCTCTACGAGCAACAAAATTGGCTCTCATCAGTGCCCGTGTGTGATAAGGTGGGATGTTCCATACATTCTTCTGGCCTTCTTGAGTACCAGACAGCAGCTCTAAATGCAGGTCACCCCCAGTGCTATACATCTCTGTGATCTGTAGTCAAACAAATTAAGTTAACTATGTAACTAATTAAAAAAATAAATAGAGGTACAACACCAGTTTACCAGCAATGGATCATCCGGCACCTCTCTCAGTCTGGACAAAATTACAAAACTACTTTTTTGCCAAAATAGTTTATTGGGCAGCCATAGATGAAGTTGTATGAAGTACGTGCTCATTTACACTGCAGTGTAAACCAAAATGCACACAAGAAATAAGGGCCATCAAATTCATGACTGTTTTCCCCACCATCTCCATTCACAGCATTCTACAGGAGTATTGTACATACAGAATTTATCTAAAAAAACATTCAAAACCTTTCTGGTAGTTGCACTTTTGGTTTCCCTTGAACATTTCAATTTTTTTAGTTCTGTTTTCCACATATGTAGTCACTGGAGCTCCATTTGTAACAGTTTTATTCAATATTTCACAACACATGCTCTTTGCTTCTTTAAGACTTCAGATAATTAATTATTTCTGTGTGCTTCCAGTGCTTGGAATTATCATGGAAAAAAGCGTGTTATGCAATGATTATACATACAGTGGACCCTCGGGTACTGGCTGTAATCCGTTCCAGAAGGTTGGCCTAAATCCAAAAAGGCCAAAAACTGAAATATTTCCCACAAGAATTAATGTCAATACAATTAATCTGTTTCAGACACCCAAAAATATTAACAAAAAAATACATTTTTTGAAGATCAACTATAGTTTTATATACACAAAACAATGAGAACTAAATCAAATAAATAAATGAACATTGAAAACACTATTACATACCTTTATTATTGAAGACTTGTTGGCTTATGGAAGACAGGGAGGAGGAGAGAGGGAGGACTGATTATTGTTTGGATGGGGAATCCCCCTCCAAAAGGACTTCTGGGGTTACTTCCTTTCTTTTTCTTTTATTGCCACTAGGACCAGCTTGAGAGTCACTGCACCCTTGTGGCACAAAAAACTGTCCAGAGAGGTCTGTTTCTGGTGTCTCTAAAATTTGCCTGAAGTGGGACAAGGTTTTGTCACTGAACATGTTGCAGATATGGCTTGTTTCAGCTTGGTCAGGGTGATATTTCTTTACAAAACTTTAATTCCATCGTGTTTCTCAATTTCTTTACCAAAGGAACTTTACTAGGACTTTCTTTGGGCCCATGGTGGTTTATTTTGCAGTTGCACGTATTACCGAACGCGGAGGAGTGGTGGGATGGACGCATCCAATACGGCCAATTTCAAAGCTGACAGCCAAAATCCAGAATAGAATTCTGGCCAAAGAAGCAGCCAAAATCCAAATTGGGCAATATCTGGAATGGCCGATAACTGAGGGTCCACTGTACCTCTCGTATCTTGGTAATTTCACTGGGATGGAAGATGAAGCACTTGAACTGCCCTCTTAGAAAGCTATTAACTCCTGGAGGCAACTCAATATCATCTAATACAAGATATTAATGCCCAGATAAGGTTCAATAATATTTTGCTGACTGTCTGCTCACCTGTAGGGAGTGTGGATGTGGGTTATGCAGCTGGATTAAAGGGGAGTACGAGGAGTTGAGCGGCATGCGAACCCCAACCAGTGGCCTCAGTCTGTAGGGATTCCCTGTACCCACTGCTCGCACCTATAAATTACAAAAATTGTGAATACAAAATACTGTATATAAATATTAAGAATCACTAGGACAAAACAGAAAATTGAAATTCTGTATATAAAGTAATAACACTACCAGTCTATGATACAGTAAATTACAAAACTGTCTTAAAGCCTTCACTGTACATACCACTGGAAACATTAATGTCATACAGTGGACCCCCGCATAACGATTACCTCCGAATGTGACCAATTATGTAAGTGTATTTATGTAAGTGCGTTTGTACGTGTATGTTTGGGGGTCTGAAATGGACTAATCTACTTCACAATATTTCTTATGGGAACAAATTCGGTCAGTACTGGCACCTGAACATACTTCTGGAGTGAAAAAATATCGTTAACCGGGGGTCCACTGTACTTAATATATTGCATCACCATATATTAGTGCATATAATTTAAAATGTACTATGAATAAATACTTACCCCATATTTGTATGTACCTATGGAGGTGTGAATGAAGATAGTGTTTTCTATGAGACCTTCCTCCCTTCCCAAAAACACCACGTCGAATGAAGTGTTCCCACCCGGTAGCACTACCTAGTTTGGATGAGTGAATACTAGCTTTCAAATGTACAAAATTTATCAGTATTAAATGGTACAAACATCAATTTTTTTTTATTTTATTAGAGATTTGTTAATATATTTTTTTCATTGCCAAAGCATAGTTTCTAACTAACAATTTGTTGTACGGGGAAAATTGCCATTATCTGAAGTACAATACAGTTTAATTATTTTTGTTTGTAATGACAGTATATAATTTCAAACCTTTACACCATTTCTTAAGGCAACTATATAACAGTATAAATATCTTTAACAATTTGCCATTTTTCTTAAAATACATGACTATATAGCTAGGTAAACAAACGCAAGTTTTGAAAGGCTTACAACACTGACCTTATCTTGAAAAAACGTACAGTGGAAGTGAAGTGTGTTTCCAGATAACGAGTGGAGCTGCACACTGTTTTCTGGACTGCTGTTTTGCACCACTACTTTTCTCATGAGGGGCATACCTGTTGGACTGCAAATGGATATAACATTTATAATCTCCACTTCATATATCTTTATACTCAAAATTCTATTAGATAATTTTACTATATTTACTCATTCCTGTGTCTTGAACAATCATTTAATTAATCCAGGTGTATTTATACAAATGTTGAATATGCTGGTGATCAAGAAACAAAAAGGCACAATGCTGTGACTGGAATACTACTACTACAGTGATACCCTGAGTTTCATACTGCTCTCAATTATGTAAGTGTATTATTGTAAGTGCATTTTTGGGGTCTGAAACAGACTAATCTAATTTACATTATTCCTTATGGGAACAAATTCGTCCTGTAACAGCACTCGAGCAGTCTTCTGGAACAAATTACGTATGAAACTTGGGGAACCACTGTACTACTACCAGCCTTACCTCTACCACTACTACTTTTTCCTACCTCTATTAGTCCTGTCCCTGTGTTTGCCTACACACAGAGTGTGACTTCATAAATGGTCCAAGATGGACCAAAACATCATTGTAAGCTTCTCTCTCCTATGTGCAGGTTATTTGAAAAAGTGAAGGGTTGGGTTGGGTTGGGTTAGATTAGATTAGATTAGGTTGTGGCACTGTCATGACCAATGTTTGTGTTTGTTGTTCATAGCGCCATCACAGTGTAGGATGTTTATATATAAATTTTTTATGACCACGAGAGTCAAAGGTCTATTTAATAGCTGTGATTAAATTAGGCATGTCCTTCATAATAGTCAAAACATGCAGTACTTCCATACCCTTTGCATCACAAGAGCTAAAATGTGAAGATACTGAAGATAATTTTTATATACAAATTGAGACAAGATTTATATATCCTTTGCTTCCTTCCATTTGCATAATCAGGATACGAAAGTTAGCTACATAATACAATGTGAATGCAGTACCTAGGGTATATATGAATTGAGTTTGTTCTGTACTCCATTACAGTTTGCTTCCTCCATTATTCCATATTGGAACAATTAAAACTTGTCCTTGTTAAACATTGTATTGCTGTCTGAGGCCCACTGGAAGATTTGATTTACATCTGCCTGAATATTCACTCAGTTTTGCCAGATGCCACTCTGAGATTCTGGCATCATCAGCAAAGGATGTTACAGTGCTTTGACATATGTCCTTGTCAATGTCTAATATAACAATAAACAGAAGTGAGGCTAGTACTGTGTCATGAGGAACAGAGCTTTTCACAGTGGCAGCTTCCAACTTCATTCCATTTACTATTACTCTCTGGGTTCTATTTGCTAAGAAGTTAAATATGCATTTGCTCACTTTTCTAATTCATTCTTTCAACACACCAGCCGTATCCCACCATAGTATAGTAATTTATACCGGAGAAGGGGTTTCTAGCCCCTTGCTCCCGGCATTTTAGTCGCCTCTTACGACACGCATGGCTTATGGAGGAAGAATTCTGTTCCACTTCCCCATGGAGACTTTTCTAATTATACCTTTTAAATACATTTTATGTGCAATCACACTATGGTCATATCAGTCAAATGCTTTTGCTAAATCAGTGTACACTATATCAGCATTTAACTTGTCTTTTGGAGCATACAGGACAACATTGTAATGATCTAACAACTGTGAAAGGCAGGAGCGACCAGCCCTAAACCCGTGCTGCCCTGGAATGTGTGCGCATGCAACTGTTGTGATTCTACATAACTGGTGATCTTGCTTCTTAGGACCCATTCAAAGATTCTGATATTGTGTGAAGTTAGGATTAATGATCTATAGAGTTTTGCAATTACTTTACTGCCTTCTTTGGGGCAGTAAATGGGGCAATGTTAATGGTTTTAAAATGACTGTTGGATGTTCGAGCCCCTAGCACTCCAACTCTTCCTGTGACAACCCCAAGTCTCCTTCCATCCACCCCAAATTTATATACCCTAGCCATTATATTTTGTGCCATCATCTCTAAATGCCTAAATAACCTCAACAATCCCTCTTCAGCCCTCAGAATTATACTCTTCGTAACCCCATGCATTCTTCTAATCTCCAAGCATCAAATTCTCAGCACAGTGTCTCTCAATCAAGACAACTCCACTGCCTCCAGCAGCAGAGTTTATGCTATATTCAGTAATATCCCCTCACTGTTATACATCCCTATAACTGAGTTTTCAAAGTACATGCCAACACAGAATAGATTAAGTGTATACAACATACTTACTGTTCTTTAAAATCTAAATGTGGAGGATCGAAAACAATATAATTTTTTGAAGGGACCCCCTTATCGTCAATGATGTCCCCATATCTGCAACAAAATTTTATTTTATTAATCAACAAATACAAGGAAAAAGTGTTAATGATTAACAAGAGACAAAATTAACTTTCAACAACTGCTGTACTAATATTTGTCTTGTACACACATTATGAACATAATTATTAATTACAGCAGGCAATTAATTAATTAGTATAAAAATAATTATTACAGCTTTTCCTCACTTAACGCTTTGACTGTTTCAGGCCCCTCTCTGAAACTGTCATTCTATGTCGCTCAATTTTTTGAAAAAAAAAAAAAAAAAAAAAATCATGAAATGATAGAGAATCTTTTCCCGATGGTAATGACACCAAAAGTTTGAAATTTGGTCGAAAACTCATGGAATTATGCTCCCGCGAAGTTAGCTGTCTCGGCGACATATGCGTATCGGCGATTTCGCCCACTTTGAGCCCTATTTTCAGCCAATTCCATTGTTCCAGTTGACCAAACTCATAGCTATTTCTTCAGAATTCCATTTTATCTATCAGCTGAGTACAAGAAACCTCCCATTTACTAATTTGGACTACCCAATATGGTGGTCAGAAATTAGCAATTTGGCCAATTTCACGCAAACTAAAAAAGATGCCAATTTCAAAATAGGGTCTAGAATAAACAAGGTAGACATTCGTGGCACTAAAATAACATATGCTCTGTTCATTAGTCACATCTCTAGGCCCCTCTTATATTATTATTGCTTTCTATTTTGATTTTTTATTCATACAAAAAAATACAAAATTTACTGTTATGCAGACTACTGCATTATTGTAAAAATGGTATAAATAATATCAGTACACTAGTGAAAGAATATTAGACTCCCCAATTGACGTGTATTGGACGTGTGGTGTGATTTATTTACTCCTGAACATTGGTAAAAATCGAACATTTCCGCTACTTTGAGCTCAAGTTTCAAGGTCATTTTCATCATCAAAGTAATGAAAATCATCTCTATTTCTGTAATATATTTTCCATTTTATCACCTAAGACCATGAAAACGCGAATACAATGATAAATACTATACGAAAATACACCTCAAAGTCGGCGTTTTATTCCAAAAAAACGATCAGTTTTTTTTTTCTCGTTACGCAATGTGTGCTGCAGGATTTTTTTTATGTGGTGCACACTGACCACACAGACCCATTCTCTCACATGTGGGCCTACCAGCTTTCTCCCGCTTGATTTGAAGCCGCTAGAATTATTGAGTATACAGTGGACCCCCGCATAACGATCACCTCCGAATGCGACCAATTATGTAAGTGTATTTATGTAAGTGCGTTTGTACGTGTATGTTTGGGGTCTGAAATGGACTAATCTACTTCACAATATTCCTTATGGGAACAAATTCGGTCAGTACTGGCACCTGAACATACTTCTGGATTGAAAAAATATCGTTAACCGGGGGTCCACTGTATATACGTCAGAAACATTGGCTCGTAAGACGTATTTATACGTCAAAAACAGTCAAAGGGTTAATGACAGAGTTCCATTCCTAAAACCACGTCGTTAACCCTTTCAGGGTTTCCGAAGTACTAGTACGGCTTACACACCAGGGTTGACGTACTAGTACGCCTAAATTCTAGTGCCTTCAAATCTAGCAAGAGAAAGCTGGTATATGAAAGAATGGGTCTATGTGGTCAGTGTGCACAGTGTAAAAAAAATCCTGCAGCACACACTGCGTAATGAGAGAAAAAAACTGACCATGTTTTTGGTTTAAAACAGCAACTTTGCACTGTATTTTTGTATGGTATTTATGGTTGTATTTTAGTTTTCCTGGTCTCCTTTTATAGAATGGGAGACATATTACAGAAATTAAGATTATTTTGATTGGTTTCACAATGAAAAGTACCTTGAAATTGAGCTCAAAGTAGCAGAAATGTTCGATTTTTGCCGAAGTTCAAAAGTAAACAAATCATGTCACGCATCCAATACACGTAAACTGGAGAGTCTAATATTCTTTCACAAGTGCGCTGATATTATTTATACCATTTCTACACTAATGCAGTAGTCTGCATAACAGTAAATCTTCTATTTTTTGTGAGAATAAAAATTCAAAGTGGAAAGCAAAAGAAATGTAAGAGGGGCATGGGGACATGACTAATGAATAGAGGAAATGATATTTTAGTGCCAGGAATGTCTTTCTTGTTTATTCTGGACCCTATTTGGAAATTGGCATCTTTTGAAATTTGTGTGAAATTGGAGAAATTGCTAATTTCTGACCACTTTATTGGATAGTTGAAATTGGTAAACGGGTGGTTTCTTGTACTCATTTAATAGAAAAAATGGAGTTCTAGCAAAATAGTTATGATTTTTGTCAACTAGTACAGTGGAATTGGCTGAAAATAGGTCTCAAAGTGGGCGAAATCACTGATGCATAAACATCGTCGAGACCGTTAACTTCGCGAGAGCATAATTCCATGAGTTTTCCATAAAATTTCATACTTTTGGTGTCATTATGCCCGGGAAAAGACTATCTTTTCATAAGAAAAAAATAATTTTTTTTTCCCGAAAAATTTTCGACCCTGAGAACAAGTTTAGGAGAGGGCCTCTCGACCCTGAAAGAGTTAAATGAATCTGTCGCTAAGTGAGGAGCACACTATAATGGTAGTGGGTTTGTGTCAACCATCTCTGATATTGTTTTAATGTCATCTTTGCACCATTTATAACATTTCTGGTATATTTTTAAATGTTTATACAGTAGTGTACTGTATACTGAAATAAACAGAATAGAGAAAATCAGCTCTAATATACAATATTTAGGTTTCAATACTGGTCTAAGAGCTCGTTTTAAGCCTGAGGCATTGGTAAACAAGTACGCTAAGTGAGGAGGGGCTGTATTTACATTATGCAAATAATTATTATTTACATTATACAAATAATTATTATTTACATTATACAAATAATTATTATTTACATTATTCAAATAATTATTATTTACATTATTCAAATAATTATTATTTACATTATTCAAATAATTATTATTTACATTATACAAATAATTATTATTTACATTATACAAATAATTATTATTTACATTATACAAATAATTATTATTTACATTATTCAAATAATTATTATTTACATTATTCAAATAATTATTATTTACATTATTCAAATAATTATTATTTACATTATTCAAATAATTATTTACATTACATCATTCAGCTAGAATTTTCTGAACAAATATTTTAAATACTTCACATCCATAGATTATGGCAGTATTATAAACATTAACCCTTTGACTGTTTTCGACGTATAAATACGTCTTACGAGCCAATGTTTCTGACGTATATATACTCAATAATTCTAGCGGCTTCAAATCAAGTGGGAGAAAGCTGGTAGGCCCACATGTGAGAGAATGGGTCTGTGTGGTCAGTGTGCACCACATAAAAAAAATCCTGCAGCACACATTGCGTAATGAGAAAAAAAAAACTGATCGTTTTTTTGGAATAAAACGCCGACTTTGAGGTGTATTTTCGTATAGTATTTATCGTTGTATTCGCGTTTTCATGGTCTTAGGTGATAAAATGGAAAACATATTACAGAAATAGAGATGATTTTCATTACTTTTACGATGAAAACGACCTTGAAACTGAGCTCAAAGTAGCGGAAATGTTCGATTTTTACCAATGTTCAAGAGTACATAAATCACACCACACGTCCAATACACGTCAACTGGGGAGTCTAATATTCTTTCAATAGTGCACTGATATTATTTATACCATTTTTACAATAATGCAGTCGTCTGCATAACAGTAAATTTTGTATTTTTTTGTATGAATAAAAAATAAAAATAGCAATAATAATATAAGAGGGGCCTAGAGATGTGACTAATGAACAGAGCATATGTTATTTTAGTGCCACGAATGTCTACCTTGTTTATTCTGGACCCTATTTTGAAATTGGCATCTTTTTTATTTTGCGTGAAATTGGCCAAATTGCCAATTTCTGACCACCATATTGGGTAGTCCAAATTAGTAAATGGGAGGTTTCTTGTACTCAGTTGATAGATAAAATGGAGTTCTAAAGAAATAGCTATGAGTTTGGTCAACTGGAACAATGGAATTGGCTGAAAATTGGGCTCAAAGTCGGCGAAATCGCCGATACGCATATGTCGCCGAGACCGCTAACTTCGCGGGAGCATAATTCCACGAGTTTTCGACCAAATTTCGAACTTTTGGTGTCATTACCATCGGGAAAAGATTCTCTATCATTTCATAAGAAAAAATAATTTTTTTTTTTTCAAAAATTGAGCGACATAGAATGACAGTTTCAGAGAGGGGCCTGAAACAGTCAAAGGGTTAAGCATGCAATGTGGTATCTATTACGTTGTTCTGGGAGGGCAGAGAGAGAACAAGTGACTGTGGAAGGGTTTTCATCTTTAGGAACCTTAACACAAGCTATGGCATAACTTTACCAATCTAACTTAAAGCATTTCTTTCAGGTCAAAAATGCAATTCTCCTTTATTAATGGCTACATGTTATATGCAATAAACTCCTCCCTACCAACTATTTCCAGCCCACAGCAAATATTCATATCCATGACAACTTCGCCATAATTACCTTTGATGTACCTTTGAAGAGCTTCGAGTTTCACTACTCTCGAAGCCTAGCCATAGGTCAGGCTTGTCTGGTGCTTGCCTGGTCAACCAGGCTGTTGCTGCTGGAGGCCTGCTGCCCCACACGTCCAACACAGCCTGGCTGATCTGGCACCTGGTGAAGATATTTGTCCAGTTTCCTTTTGAGGACTTCTACACTTGTTCCAGCCACGTTTCTGATATCTTCTGGTAAGATGCTGGATCGTCTGGGACCCCAGGTGTTGATACAGTGTTCCCTTATTATTCCCACTGCACCCCTGCTCCTCACTGGGTTTATTTTGCATTTCCTCCCATATCTCTCACTCTAGTATGTAATGGCAGTGTGCAGATTTGGGACCAGGCCCAGGAGTGCTTTCCAGGTATATATTATCACGCATCTCTCTCCTCCACTCCAATGAGTACATGTTCAAGACTTGACAGTATTCCCAGTAATTTAGGTGCTTTACTGGCTCAACGTGAACCGTATTTGTTCCAGCTCTGATATTTCTCCTGCTTTGAACAGGGCCATCAGCACTGAGCAATATTCTAAATGAGGGAGCACTAGCAATTTGAAGAGTGTCACCATCAGCATTATTTCCCTTGTTTTGAAAGTTCTCAATACCCACCCCGTCATCTTTCTGGCTGTCGTGATCTTGTTATGGTCTTTAAAAGAAAGGTCAGCTGACAATTATTCCCAGGTCTTTTACGTGTTCCTTTCGTTCTATTTGGTGACCCTCTTGAGTTTTGTAGTGTTCCTTTTGAGTTCTTCATTCTTTCCATACCTAAGCAGCTGGAACTTATCACCATTGAACGTCATGTTGTTCTCCACTGCCCACTAGTAAAACCCTGCTTATGTCTTTCTGTAATTTTTCAGTGTCCTAAGAAACATTAATTCAACTACCACCAAATGCACTCTCCCCCTCCCCATAATATAACAATGTAACCTAACTATGACTGACTAGAACATAATATAATAATAATAATCTTTTTCTACAAGTACTGTACATGTATAATGTATACAGGTCTAGCTGACATCAGTGACATACTACTATGAAGAAAGCCTCCATGTTATGTAGAGCATTTTGGGCAAATTAGGTCAGTTTTGTCCCCAGGATGCAACCCACACCACTCAACTAACACTCAGGTACTTACTTTACTGCTAGGTGAACAGGGACAGCAGGTGTCTTAAGGAAAAATGTCCTAATGTCTCCACCAGTACTGGGGATCAAACCATGGACCTCAGTGTGTAAGCTGAGTGCGCTAGCTCACACTTTACTAAGTACAGGACAGGCTTTCCTTCTATTGTATGCTTAAATACAACAGTATGTACTGCACTGAGGTGCAACTTAGCATACACCTAACTCTTTCACTGTTGCAACTCCAAAATTAAATTAAGGGTGCTGAGTATCGTGATTTTTAAAAAACTTATTACATTTTATGGATTTTTTTTCTGAAATTAATGACACCAAAAATGTTAAATTTGGTAGAAAACTTATAGAATTATGCAGATGCAAAGTCGGAGGTCTGGGCATAATTTACTCATTGACACTTTCACCAACTTCCTATTTTATGCAAATTCCAATGCTCAATTAGATGAATTCCTAGCTATTTCGTTAATATGCTTTCCATTCTACCAAATGAGCACAAGAAACTGCCCATTCTACTAACAGAACTATTCTATGTGCACAAAAGTTGATAATTTGCCCAATTTTACAAAATTTAAAAATATCCATTATAAAATCCGAGTCCAAAATAAGCACTGTAGTCATTCCAGCCACTAAAGCAGTCTTTCCTCTGTTCATTAATGTCATCGCTATGAGGCTTCTCCTACATAACGTGTCTGCCACTTTGAATCCATCCCATTATCACATAGCAATCAACAGATGGCAATAAACAACCAATAAAATAAGAACCACCTTAGAAAACACCTCAAAGTCAGTATTTTAAACCAAACACAAAGTCTGAAGCATGCTTTTACAATCATGCACTGCCTAGGGTAGGATTTTTTTTTTTTAAATGCAAACACTAACTGCACAGACTCATCCTCTCATGTCTAGGACAAAATTTAGTACTCACGGCTTATCTGAGGAAGCAGAGCTCAAAAAGCAAGTCTAGTGAGCAACACTGGTATCACTGATGTAGACGTACATGGGAAACAGTAAAAGAATTAATCATAAACATACACAAGCAAATTGCAACTCAATTTTTAATAAATTAATACTGGCCTTACCTTATTTCTGTTTCTCCTGTTTTTATTATCTGAAAAAAAAAAAAAAATAAATTAGAAATAATCTTAAAATGTGGAGATTAATCTCAAATGAAACATTAAAAATACTTGCTGCATTGATAATGTATTTTACCAAAAAAAATGTATTTATCTATTTTCCTTTCACTGTAAGGATTCTATATGAATAATGATGGTTCCTACATTATTTAGAGGCTAGGACCAACTTTTGTTTTTAACTCTACTCGAGCAAATGAAAGTTGAATTTTCACTTTATAGAGAAACGTTACAATTATGGTAACTATCAATATAAAGCCAAGTAAAAATCAGTTTTAAGAACCTGATAAAAAAATTTTGTCATTCTAAGATATAGAGGTAGAGAATTAGTGTGCTACAGCACTATGTATTGTTATACAGTCCATGTTTGATGAACATGTGCAAGACTACACAAAATAAATGGAAAAATATTCAAATATATAAGAAATATAAAAATTACAATATATATATACAGTACTTTAAATTTTATTTTAATTATCATACATATATGATATGCATGTATGTATGTATATTATCATACATGCATATATTTATGCATAAATATGCATTCACAATGTCTCATACACAAGCATGTGTTCCCCAAGCACAAGTGCATGTGTATATGTAATATGAAAGACATTTACAGTGTCATTGCAATACATGTAAATCAAGATGACAAAGCTGTGGCAGAGAGAGGGACAGAAGGTAAATCAAAACCAAGATCATCTGCTATGCATTTGATCCAACACCTTGTACACTGTCGCAGGAAAACATGTGGTGCGGTGCAAGCCTTTGTCATAAGCTATGTTTTGTTCTACGCAGAGCTTTATCATGAATTAACGCAGCTCAACCCACAGTGAGAGCTTATCCATAATGAAAGTTTGCTCTGAGCTGAGTGTATCACGTGTGAGCAATACCTACCATATAAGACTACCCCCATACATTACACATTCTTGTATGCTTGCCAGTCAGACAAATTATGACTTGTGTGTTATAATGACTCCATTTACATCCTAGAAATTACAAGCAGGCCCCACTTTACAGTATTCTGCTAGTGCAACGGCTTTAAATTATACCCATTCTTCATTTGTTAAAACTTCCTACAATATATTTACCACAAGCTAAGGACGAAAATATTATTTAGGCAAGTAATGTGTGTACTGTATGTGCATTTTTTTAGGCCTAGCTCTATTGCTCACTTAATATTGATAGTGTGAACATGTTATCAGGCTTTTATATGAATTTGAAAGTAAAGAAAGGCTACAATTCATTTTGCAGAAGAAGCCCACATCCTAACGTGCTTTATAAGCAGGGCCTCCTTGTACATGAAAACAATAAAAATTACTTAAGAAATGTAAAAAGTTTGATGTGAATATTGCTCTGTCTATAAGGAAAATGTTATCCAGGTAGTGCATAACTTGCAACTTACAAGGAAGATTGTGTTATTAAATTCACACGTGAATTTATACATACTGGGAAAAACTTTTAAGCAACAACAAATAATCAGATGACTATGGGAAGAAGCTCATATGAGGAATGAGAAAAATGTGCTAATGACTCGAGAAGATACATCACTTCCAGTACTGAATAATGAAAACAAATAATTTAAAAAATACATATGAACAAATAAACCAATGAAGAAAGGAACAAAACTGATGACTAGAATAATAGTTTACTTAAATGTGTGGGAGGGACATAGAATTATACTGTTAAAATTGACGAGAAGACAGGTGACAGCATCATGCACTGTGATTAGTTACAGGATCATACAGTCATGGTGAGCGAGTGTACTGGCTGATCACACACATTCACTGATGAGTGAAGGGAAAGTACAGGCTTCATTTTGTACCAAGGTGACAAGTATACCAGTATCAAGGTTCATACACACATTCAATGATGAGTAAGGGTGACATACAGACTTCATTGTGTATCCAGGTGATCAGTATGCCACCATCAAGGTTCACACACACAAATGCATTACAAAATTCATTTCTTACTCATACCATACAATTTTATCATTGACAGAAAGCCTTACTCCATCTGTGTAATGAATTTACTGTAAATTACAGTAATTCTTGAATTTATACTGAGAGGCACTTCATAAATCAGTGAAATATTGTATTGTACAGTGAAAATTCCCGACAAATTTTAACTTTTATTCATGAGAATACTGTTCATAAATATTTTTTTTTCCATTAGTTGAAGAGAGGAAAGTTAAGATTTATTCTAGTAATTCTTCATACAGTTCTCTACTGTAATTTCCAGTAAAACCCAACAAGACTATCCACCTAATGACAATATGCTCAGCATAATCCTACACTCTACAGTACATTGATATCAGGCCTTAACAAAACCATCTAGTAGCCTAAATGCTCTCCTACATGCACTCGGTTAAAATGGGAATATAAAATCATGCTGACACATGCATACACACCACACTAGTGCCCTAAACACACAGGTATTTAAGACAGCACCCAAGCTTAAGCCTACACCCTACAGTTATACATCACACGAGTGCCGAGTTGCTGTGCACAACATACACTCGTGTGCATCTCGTGGTCCAGCTGAGCAAGCATTAGCATGGAGCAAAATAACCATGACCCAGTCCAGCTGACTGTCAGTAAAGGAACTGGAAGCAGAGCAGTCTGTTATTATGAGCAGAAAGTGAGTGTTATGAGTATGGCAGTCTAGCACACCACTGTGAGCATCAGGTGTGAGGGGTGCACCAGATACAGTAGTAATGTAAGTAGTAGTAGCAGCAGCAGCAGCGGCAGTAAGGTGGAGATGATGGAAGTACCTTGGATGGTAACCACAGTGGTCTGAGCAGGCAGGCCACACCTGGCTCAGGGCCTTCTCCGCTCATGTTCCAGCAGTGGTGTTCAGTCATCGGTGCTGGAACTGATGATGACATGGGCGAATCTACTCTTGAACCGCATGGCATAGGCAAGTCCATGGTAGAAGGGCAGGGTGTAGGCAGGACAGGACACGGCAGCCGTGGGAAACCTTTATTTATCTGCTGCAACTGTTGCTGAATGTGCACAAGTGAGAGTGGTTCCCCAACACCCATTGTGTCATGAACATGGATGAGGTGCACCTTTGGGTCCAAATTTGGGTGGAGATGGGGCACTCCAGCATACACCAAGTTCTCCACCAAGTGCTGAGGAACACATGCATCCTTGGGAGCAGCTTCCAATAACACACTCACACAATCACGCCTGTGGTTGGGCTTGTTGAAGCACACATCAAGGGTGCAGGAACCAGAAAGTGGTGGCAAGGCAGAGTAGTGAGTGTTGTCCAGAAGGTGGAGGCAACTCCGAGGATCTAGCAGACCTCCCTGCACACTGTCACAGTCCCGGAGGTCGAGATGCTGACGGAAGTCTGAGCAAGGTGATGGGTGAGGATCCAGAAGCCTGGAGGGTTCGTGTGTGACCAGGTAGTGAGAGCAGTGGTGCGCCAGGCTCGGCAGGAGGTCCACCGGCACCACACCCTGCGACACACACACTTACTCCTCTACTCTTCAATCAGTACACATACTTGTAAATGGGTTTTACTTGCAGCAGCATCATTCAGTTTCCTGTCCTTATGAAAATGAGTAACACAGTACAAAACTATAAAAAACAATAAATAGCAAGTGAACTCAGAGTTGCAAAAGTAAGCTGTCACTTTAATATGCTGTAGCTACTGTATGTATATTATAAAATAAACAAGGTGTGTGCACACACACGCACGCACACGCACACGCACACGCACACACTAGTCCCCCCAAATTCGCAGGGGTTACGTTCCAAGACCACCCACGAATTTGGAAAAATCCACAAATTCTGGACGAAGTTAAAAAATGCCCAATTTTATAGTTTAAACCATAAATATGCCCCCAAAACACTAATTTCAAACTCAGCTTCATACATCACCCTTAAAAAAAAAATTATGCAAAGACAAACCCGTATACAGTACTGTACTGCTATGTCTCCCGCTGTGCTAGAATGTAAAATACTGTAAAGTACTGTAATTCACGCAAGCCCATTTTCTTTGGTATACTGTAATTCATGCAACCCTGTTTTCTTTGGTATATGTATGGTAAATATACAGTAATAATTTAATTTAGTAAAAGTAAAGTTAAATGTACAAGTACTTGCCAAAAATGAATGATACCAATCTCTACAGCACTACAAAATTTATACAGTATTATATTTTATATGGAAATTTTGCTGAATTTACGTTAATATTTATGTTACAAAATTATTAAATTATATTTTTTAGTATTTAGCATTAAAATGCATATAAATTTATATATTGCCACGAAAAAAAGCCAAAAGAAATTCCACGAATTTGTGGGGATTTTCACGAACAATATTAGTTAAGTTCTAAGGAAAATCCACCAAATTCGCAAGGGTCCACTGTATGTACATGTGTGTGTCTGCATGCACACAGGCACAGGTGAGCTATGACTTGACCCCTGCAACCACAACTAGGTGAATACAACTAGGCGAGTACAGATACACACGCACACACACCACTGAAAAAAAAGTGAAATTCCAAGCACTTTCATTACTTCCCCCATTACCAAGGAACTATGAAAATAAAAGGTTAACAGTTAGGCATATATGGACGAGACTACACCTCACTGCCACCCCCAACATCGTCTGACTTTTAATGATGATGTAGGTAGGTGGTCAGTGATCCACAAAGCACAGCTTATATTCTACCCAAAATTGTGTCTAATGTTCTTTAAATTCTTCCCAAATTTTATTAATTATAAAAGAATCCAATTTACATAAATCAAAAGCAATATTCATATTATTTTCAAAACTACTTTTTATGAAACACGATTCCATTATAATCCTGTTGACCATGGACTTGCTAAATACAACCTTCGTAACCTACATCATAAAATGCAAAGTGTTGTTGGGGGTGGCAGCGAGGTGTAGTCTTGTCCATATATGCCTTCCTGTTAACCTTTTATTTTTATGGTTCCTTGATAATGTGAGAAGTCATGAAAGTGCTTGGAATTTCTCTATTCTTTCAGAGTGGTTGTTTTGCATATTCTGAAATCACCTGTTTACTGTGATCTTATTGCATGTATATATATATACGTGTATATATATATACGTGTATATATATATACGTGTATATATATATACGTGTATATATATATATACGTGTATATATATATATACGTGTTATATATATATATATATATATATATATATATATATATATATATATATATATATATATATATATATATATATATATATATATATATATACATATATATTACGTATGTATAATGTATATATATATATATTATATATATATATATATATATAATCTCACAGTATAAAAGACAAAAATAATAAGAATGGTGGCATGGACTGCTGTATGTGCACACAACGGTTAACAATCAAAGATCAGGTCATCAATGCATCGAGGCTAAAATCTTGCATTTATCCATTATGCAATACCACGCCAACAAAAAAGGG